TTGTTCAAAGCAATAAAATAAGCATCCAGCTGTGGAGGAAATAACAGCTTCACCCACGAGGGATCTAAATCACACCTGCTCTGTGGTCGGAGATGAAAACACTCATATTTAGCATTAATGACGGTTTAAATAATTAATGACGGCTTCCTTTAGGGACGATTATACGCTAGATTAGAACTGATGTACATGTCTGCTGCATTAATCCCATCACAGACACGTTACTTTGACCACTTAACTACTCTGGATGCTTGTTTTAAAGCATTTGCATCTTTTTAACCCCCGTTTCTCAGCATGTCATCTCTCTCTGTGGAGCAGTTCAGCCGCACCGCTCGATGATAGGTCAACAGTGAAGAGAAGGGTGAGGAGGCAGAGAGCAGTTAGCCACGATGCTAACCACTTTTCCCCGTTTACAAGCTACACACAGGAAGTCTCACGCAAGCTAGCTCCTGTTTGCCTCCCGATGATCGGACCTTCTAGATCTCTAAAGGAACTCCCAGCAGTTTAGCTGCTCACCCTCCAGAAGCCAGCAGGCAGTGTGTGTGTGTGTGTGTGTGTGTGTGTGTGTGTGTGTGTGTGTGTGTGTGTGTGTGTGTGTGTGTGTGTGTGTGTGTGTGTGTGTGTGTGTTTAGCAGAGAGTGACCTGTGCCAGCAGATAAAATACGATCCAGTAAACCCAGAATAAAACATCTCTGTAAAACCTGAGTCCACATTAAAACTGCAGCTTCTCTTCCGCCCGTGGAAAAAGAAACAGGAAATGTTGGATAAGAAGTTTCTTCTGTTCAGAGTTTAGATGCTGCAGGTTCACCCCAGGACAACCTAATGCACTTCTAAGGTGAAATAACATAAACAAGCATTGCCTGCTGTTACACACACACACACACACACACACACACACACATGTGCATACACACACACACACACACACACACACACACACACACACACACACACGTACACACACACACAAACACACACATGTACACACACACACACACACACACACACACACACACACACACACACACACAGATCTGGAATGCTAGCCTGCTTGTGTTTTATAAAGCTTGATAATAAAAAAATAAAATACTACTAATAACAATAACAATATTAATAACAATACTAATAACAATGATAATAATCATAATAATAATAATAACAATGACAACAATAATAATAACAATAATAATAATAATAACAACAATAACAATGACAATAATAATAATAATAATAACAACAATAATAACAATAATAATAATTATAATAACAATAATAATAATTATAATAACAATAATAATAACAATAATAATAACAATAATAATAATAATAATAATAATAATAATAATAATAATAATAACAATAACAATAACAATAATAACAATAATAATAATAATAATTATAATAACAATAATAATAATAATAACAACAATAATAACAATAATAATAATTATAATAACAATAATTATAATAACAATAATAACAACAATAATAATAGGTAAACCCAGCACTCCAACTTACTCTTTATATTTAATTATTCCTTATTTCTTTTTTTGTTACCTGGAATTTTTTTCCCCCCCAAATCTTTTCATTTGGGTTTTTAACATTTCTCTTGTCTCCGTGTGAGTTTTGATCTGCTGGGGAACAAAGTTTGCATTTTATAATCACATCTGATCTCCAACCAGAAACTACAACAAGCAGCCTGCCGAGGCAGGAAACAAGCACACGTGGTAGCATCTCCTCTGCAAAAACACTACAGCCAACAGCATTTGGACTCTGGGCAGCTGCTGGGTGTTTTGTAGCGGATCTGTAAACGTTTCGCTCGGTGAAAGCCCAAATGGAACGCCAGGGTCTGTGAGGGGTGTTGTCCTTCCTTCCAATTTTCCACTTTTACAGCTGGGCAGCGTTCGACCACAGAACGTGACACAGGACACGGATTTGTCAGAGCGTGGCCGGCAGGACTGGCACCAGCTCTGCTCGCCCGCTTCATTAATCCAGGCAGCAGCATAACGGCAGATACCAGGGTGTGTGTGAGTGTGTGTGTGTGTGTGTGTGTGTGTGTGTGTGTGTGTGTGTGTGTGTGTGTGTGTGTGTGTGTGTGTGTGTGTGTGTGTGTGTGTGTGTGTGTGTGTGTGTGTGTGTGTGTGTGTGTGTGTGTGTGTGAGAGAGAGAGAGAGAGAGAGAGAGAGAGAGAGCTAGAATCCAGCCTGATTAAAATCTGGTTTTGGAGACCGAGCAGGTACCTGCAGGATTTTCATCATTCTGCTCAGCAACAACGAGCAGGAGGAAAATAAAGAGAAGGGTCGACAGAAGCTGATTGGAGTTGATGTACGGAAAGCAAAAGCCTTCAAAAAGAGACACGCAGGTTGGAGCCAACTTACCTTTTCGTAGTATTTGATTTCATATTCGGTGATGACGCCGTTGGGCTGATGGGGCTCCTGCCAGGACAGCTGGACGCTGCGCTGCTGCACCATCTCCTTGATGACCTCGCTGACCTGGGACGGAGCTGTGTACAGAGGAGCGTGTCAGATCTGGTGGGCGGAGCCTCCCAGCACACACACACATGCATGAAGCCAGCCTCAGAGGCCCTCGTCAGCTGATGAATATTCACACAGACTCCTGGAAATGTTTACAGCTCATGGTCCAAATTTCAATTACAGAACAAATGTTGTCCCAGCCAGCCGCGCGGGCCGTGTGAGAACTCTGAGTGACAGATCGCTTCAATTAATTCCAACATATTCGGAGTAATGGGCAGCGACGGTGATGACGGAGCGCCTCTCAGAGGGAGCGCCCGCACCTGTAACCTCCTGACTCACGCCTTATGTACACCAATTATCTCTGCCTCTTTGCATGACTCACTGTAAGTGTCTGGCTGTCTGGATTAAGTGCTCCGACATTTAGATTTGCTAAACCGGAACAACCATAGTTCTATTTCTGTTCCCTGGAAGGTAAATGAACCTGAAAGCTGAGTGTGGATGGAACGTCTGCAGGTTTCCTACTGCAGCAGCGGTCGCCTCTGCCCTCCGTCCTGCGGGACCAGCCTCCTGCTGCAGGGACTCTGTTGCTTCCCTTTCTTCTACAAAACTTGGTTTTAACCTGTTTCCAAGGCCGGCAGACTTGGGTTGTGTTTTATGGGACCAGTGTTTGTTTTTCTTGAACTCGGTGTCGTGACAGCCCAACTTTTCCACATTTGATGCTTTTTTTTTCTCTTGTAAACTCCTTCCAACCCTTCTAGTGTCACCACAGACAAGAAAAGCTGTTTAGGAGACGCTTGTAACAACACAAACCGGTTCTCCAGCGCAGCCTTTCCCTCCTGCACGTTCTCCGTTACCTCTACAGCACATCATTATCGCCGTTATCCTGCTAATAATCACAGCGGTTTACAGCACTTGTCTTAAAGACCCCAGTGAGGAAAAGAGGCGACAAGCTCTTCGGATTACCGAGCCTCACCCTGAGGAGACGGAGCTTTCAGGAAATATGCTCACTGCCAGTCTGCTCCGAACGGCGGCAAAATCCTTTCTGTAAACACGCTGTGAAATCCGGATGACTCATGCAGCTCTTGGGGCAAAACATATTAATTAAGACATCTTAGCAAGTTCAGAGCCAGCTGCTGAGGAAGAGGAGCGCTAACCCGACACTCCAGTGACGGGGCTTCGGATGAAGACACCTTCTCCCAAAGCACACGTCTCAGTCTGGGACGCAACCACAGTTCTGACCTTCGACCTAAACGTTTGCTCCAGACAACAACAACTGGCAACATCTGATTATCATTAGGGGGAATCTGTCACGCATGCATCACAACAACTCTGTTTGGACCTCCGGGCTTCCGTAGCAGCTCTTCTCTGCTGGTATAGCAGCTGTCCGCTGTGTCTGCTGGTGTCGTTTATGTCCGCGTGACTGTTAAAGCGCCTGACTCATATTCTGGCCCCAGCCCGGACTTTAGGCAACTGTTCGGACTCTTGTTTGAAAGGTCTCCTGCTAACCCGTGTTAGCATCAGCAGAGTCGTGAGCTGAGAAGACGAAACGTGTCTGAAGTTGTTTCAGAAATGTGAAACTTCATCAGATCACGTGGTGCTGTCTGTGGGCTCGGGCAGCATTTTGTGCTCTTATTTTGGCGAGCCACACCGTGGAATGGTGAAGGGTGTGATTAGGATCGTCGTTCCCAGGCTCGACTCTGACGGTAGTCTGCTTCTACTGAAGCAGCGGAGCAGCGACCCGGTGGGATGTGGACCTCCGGGCCGTGATGCAGCCTGACCTCTGATTGTTTTCAGATGACCTGTTTCTAATGACGGGCTGGATTAAAACCTCATCAGGCCTCATCGATGTTCCAGACAGACACGGCTACGACAGCAAACAGCTGGGGCGGCGTGGGAAACCTGCGGTTGTGACACAGCCTCTCATAATCCACCCAAACGGCTCGGTTCTGCTCTGGGATTACGGCTAGACCACTCTTTTCTGCTCCAACCTGACTTCCACCGCTCTCCTGCAGACGTCTCAACCCTTCGCTTGAACAAATATCTGAAATGCGCTTTTGATGGAAAACGTTAGGATCTGGAAACAAACGGTGGTGTTTTCCCGCTGCTGGACTCCCAGGACATCACGTCTGAAACGGAACGTCAGGATATTCTGGGACTCGCTACAGCTGAGAAGGTATTAGAGGACTTTAGCTTCCTCACAGACCCCGAACAGGTAATGACTCCGACAGTCGCTCTGATCACAGCTGTCTACAGCTCACAGCTACTCTGATTCACCGGGTTTAAGCTCCGCCCCCAAAGATCCTGTAAATAGTGATGGGTGCAACTGCAGCCTGCGAAAGGATCCAGGTTTAGTGAGTCAGGCTACCCCCCCCCCCAAAACCACACACACACACACACACACACACACACACTTACACACGGTGTGTGTGATCCACACTCGCTGCATTTTTAAGGCGGTATTTCTTCCCGTTCATATATCAGAAAAACAATTCTGGATCTCCAGGGAGAAAAATGCATTTTTATATCCTGGAACAAAAGTGTTCACATGGAAGAACAGCAGTTCAATTCAGTTCCCACACAGCCATAAACCCAACATGAAGGTTATTCAGACGGTGGAAGAAGCAGGATACCGGGTAAGAGGGGCAAGGAGAGGAGGAGGGTGACGGGTTTTTTCTCCACCCGACGTTATTAAAGACACCCGCCTGCTCTGAGCAGAACAAGCTCCAGATCAGGACTCTGAACCGGATCCATCTGGTCTCAAACTATTCCTTCATCCTGCAGCTCTTTCTTACTGTAACCACGTGTGTGTCTGTGTGAGCAGCAGAAAAACACCACCGTGGGGGGCTTCCGACCACCTCTGTGTGGAGGAGCCGGGTAAGAGAAGGTTACCGTATTTTCCGGAGTATAAGTCGCACCAGCCATAAAATGTATAATGAAGAAGAAAAAAACATATATAAGTCGCATTTTGGGGGAAATTTTATTATTTTTCTTACAAAATCTGAGACCGAGCGTTTCACATTGCAAGACAAGCACCGATCACATTAACAGAATAAACAACCAGGGCGCAGCAGCGCGCCACGGTCTCCAGCAGAGGATGGCGGTGTTTCAAACCCTCCCAGCAGGCGGAGAGAGCTCATTCCTAGGCCCGAGCCGGCCCGCAGCACCCCGCCACGGCCTCCAGCAGGTGATGGCGGGGCGGAGGAGCTGACACCTGGTGCGGAGCCGGGCCGCAGCAGTGTGGAGTACATACATTGGTAAATAAGTCGCAGGACCAGCCAGACTATGAAAAAAGTGTGACTTATAGTCTGGAGAATACGGTAGTATGAATGGACTTGTGCAGCTGTTGCATTATTAACCGTTACTACGCTCTTGGTCGGGGTTCAGGCAGCAGACGTGAGTCCTGGAGCAACAGGAGTTGCCACATTTAGCCGATACTCATGCTTGTAAATAATCACAACCTGTAAACATGTAAACAACCACCTGTTGGTCAAACCAGTTCTGAGTTCATCAGTCCTGAGACGGTAAAACATGGCTGCATGGGTGAAAGTCTGGTTGTGTTGTAAAGCACCTTGGGGGGGTTGGAAAACTCTAGAGGGCGCTATATCAAATAAAGAACATTCAAAAGCTATTTCCCTAAACAGAGGCTGTTCAAGGAGAAGCTGTCTTTCTACTGCAGCGGTGATCCGGTAGGTCCCGGTCCCACCTCCTGCTCCACCCTGATGGAGAGCCAGGGCCGCGAGCAGAGCACTTTAACCCTGGAAAAGCAGGAATTCTGCCTTCCTCACGGCTGCAAATGAAGCCCACAGCTTAGCTTCAGTCGCCGAGGCGGGAATGTGTGGCTCCGGAGCAGGCTGACGCTCCTCCAGCCTACCTGTGTGTGTGTGTGTGGGGGGGGGGGGGGGGGGGGGGGGGGGGGGTAGCACAGCGGAAAACTGTCTAATTGTTCTGCCGGTCCTAAAGAGCCTGCCTGGGAAGGCATTAGTGCATTCCCGAACACCTCCCTGTAAGGCTGCCTGACCCAGAAGCGCTCTGCAGCTCGACAGCCTGGGAAGACGTCCCATTTAAATATTCTCTGCCTTCACTCAGTCGGCTGATTTTAACTCGGAGGCAGAACGGAGATAGCTCATTACGTAAGCGTCGCTCTCGCCTGCCGAAGCGTAGCATCACATAAACTCATATATTCAGCTACTGCTGTTTTCCACATGTGCTGCGTATCTCCACGCCTACGGTGCCATCTGTGTTTGGGCGCTCAGGATCGCTGGTGGTTAACACATTCTTCATTTGAGCAGCGACTCCTCCAGAGAACATAATCCAGACTAAATCTGTGTGCTGGAAACAAGCCTGCACTACCTTCCACAATAAAAGCACGCAGACGTGCTCCTCAGACAGCTGTAGACGTTTGGGCGGTTGAACTTTTACATTTTGGCTTATTAGCAGTAAAACTCATGCTTTTCCTGTTTCAGGAGCTCGCACCACCACGCCTGAGAGACGAGGCTTCTCCACACGTCTCTGCTCTCCGTCAGGAGTTGCTGCGAGTCCGAGTCTTTACAGGACACCGTGTCCTGGTGACACCGGGCCCTGGTCGGGCCGACACTAACAAAGTGGCACGATCAAGATGGCTTCCTGTGTGCTGCGGCTCCCCCAGCGCCGCAGGGCGACCTTTAAAGTCTTTCTGCAACCATCCTGTAAACTCGCCTGCGCTTTTTCTTTACAGCAACAAAGAAGTAGAGTCCATCTCTTCTGCTGAGGGTGCGTTTGACTGGGACAGATTTACCCATCATGCAGTTCGCCTACATGTTTGGATGTGGAGAATTCAGCCAGCACCACAACCGCCGCGCCGCTGGCTCATAATGGTAACTCCTGCAGCTTCCAGCAACACCAAGACAACTGAAAAGACCATCACTAACCCCTCCAGAAGCAATAAAGCACCAGGTTCCCGGGTAAATAACCCGTCCGACCAGTGGAACGTCCATCTTGATGATGTGACTATACGTGCTGACAGCTTCTACTCTGGTCCGACGCGGCAAAC